TCGAGCGCCAAGTGACAGGATGAGCTCCCATTATTTGCCCCAACTCCTGTCCACCTAGCAGTTCAAAAGCATGCACATGTGATTAGAATAGATATCACTTCAGTGAGAATATACAGCATTCTGTGTGCCTTAGCATATAGTCATGCTAACTGCATGACCACAGAAAACGCTGGTTTCCTCAGCTAAGAAATGGAGATGAGCACCATTCCTTTGAGACAGGAATGAGTGGACAGGGGAAACCTTTACCTTTTTTTTATACATATAAGAATAAATATGGACACTTGTAGAACTTCTGAGATATTTCTTTTTATATTCAGCTATTGGTAGCATCAAAAAGCATTTAATATGATTCTGTATTCTAATAATGCCATTTCCAAGAATGATGCATTTTCATTAATATTTGGATGAATTCCATTCAGTGAAATTTCCTACAACATTAATTAAAATCTTTCTTATAAACAATTGGTGAATTTCATTGCTTCCTGATAAGGTTTGCTAGTAAGTTAACGGTGATGTACACTAATGGTTTTCAACATGTGCTCTAACACATCCACTACTAATCAGTGAATCTCAGAGTGTTCAAAAATAAAATAAGAGAAAAAATAAAGACAAATATGATCAAAATTCCAGAAGATCATGAAATATTACAAGTTGTCAGACTTGCCCCAAATCTCACAAAATTTCAAATGAAGCCATCACAACACATGAGATGTGATCATCTTACAACAATTCAGAGTTTCCTGAAATTATTATTTATATTATTGAATTTTGATTTCCATGGACACCATATGGAGCACATAAGCTATAATACAAGTGCTAAATTTTCAATTCCTTTTGTATAGTATTGCTTAAAAATTTTCAGGACAAAAGAATAAAAGAAAAGGTTAAATAAAATGTCTAGGGAAGGGTTTACATTACTCTCTCTTCATTCCTTCTTGAGAAGTCCATAAAAAATAGAATGAGTCCATTGAAATAGCATGGAAAGGGGTTGAATTCTTCATCCTTTGCATCTAAATGTCCCCATTATAGTGGGAGATACTATTTTATTAATAACTGGCTTGAATAAATTTATTTTCAAATTTATTTATTATGGAAAAAGGGTCTCTCTGCCTAGAAAGTACTTTCTTCATCCTGATCCGCTCCTCCTCCATCTTTTCTGAGGAAGGCGCCAATCGAGA